GGGGACGTTGACCCTTTTTTGTTGAAATAACTTTTGTTACTTTGTCAACATAACTTTAAGTTACATGTAAATATGTCGACACAAATAGTAACGTGCCGATATTAGTAAGTTGCAAGGTAACATTAATAAGTAGATTTGAACCTAAATATATAATTGATTTTTAAAGTGTAAAGAAAGTTAAACAATTATCTTGCGGGTAATACTAAATAAATAACATCTTGCAAGTTCAATGTAAGATTTCACTACTGGCCACTCGTTGTTTTTTTTGTTGTTTTTTTTTATGAATGTTAAATGTATTTTGTTCATTTTTTTTTTCCTTTTTTAAAATTTTTATTTTAAAATAATATGTATATATTTAATTTAAAAATGTCACTCTTGCTATATCAATTATATATTCCATTTCATAATACCCTGTACGTGAATTTACATGTATTGTCTTGGGAGCTACAAAACGATGTTTGTACAATTTTTCCTTGTTCTTACGATTTTTATCTAGCATGTGCAAAATGACATTTCTAGCATGCACATTTTCAGAATGGTTTAGACATACACATGTATGCATTTTTCAGTATGGTTCCCATTAGAAAGGATAATATTATTTGAAATTCTGTATCAATCGTTTTTGTTACTCATCCCAATACAATAATTAGATCATATTAAATCAAATGAAAGAATTCATGCTCAAAACTATTCATCAAACATGATCATAATTTTTCATTAAAATTAATTCGGAGAGTTTCTTTAATAATTCAAATGTAATAAGTGTTCTCATAAAAACACAAACGTGAAGATATCGAAAGACTACCGATCGCATGATTAATTAATTATCTTGATAAAAGTTAACTTTTTAAAATTTTGATTAAGAATAGAGAGGTCTCCAATAAAAGACAAATGTTAGTTTTCTCCTAACTGCAGCTCTATATTTTTTTAAGCATAAAACATATTTATTGATGAGAGAGAGAGAGAGTTAACTTCATTAACATTCTAATAGCAACTCATTTTACTTTGTTTAAATATAATGGACAAAATTCGCAACATTACTTAAATATTTTTAAACCGGGTGTGATGCAAAAGCACCGAAATTAAGAGAAAAATTACACATGCATCACTGCTATTTCTTAGTAAGGCGAATATTTAAAAGTTTATTTTATGGACTATTTATCACAAAAAATGAACTGAACTGAATTGTTCGATTGACAAATATCAAATCATAATGTAATTCTCAGTCACTAAAAGGGTTCATCTTTAACGAAAAAAAGTTTGAAATAACCATACCGAAATCAATGTTCCCACGTTTGTTTAAAAAAAAATGTAATCACTTTTTCTTTTGATTCATAAATACCTATCTGTCCTCAAATTAACCCAGTATTTTTACTTACATGATTTTTGTCGGTTAAATCTCCGCTAGGCTGAGGAAAATACCAATGTACAATGAATTCCGTTATCTTGTCCTGCGTCTTGAGTTTATCGTCTGCCTCTTTGATCTAAGTCAACAGAGCGCTTCCGTAAACGATGTTTGGCCAGAAACTCCCTTTGGTATCAGCTATGTTTAAAA